GTTTTTTAAAATCCAATGTGTGGATCACATAATATTTCAAAAATTTTAACTTTTGAGTATAGATGATCCGCACTGTAATACACAACATTGATTGCTTAGTAAAAAAACGAGTATTTGTATTACCCATTTATTTGATTATTTTGGCAGATCATCAAGTGAGTTGATACTTTTTGTAGGGGTGTGTATGTTCAATTTAAACTAGGTTTGTCCAAAGAATGTCTCAACAAATCTTCTCAAAGTATCTTATCGACTTGTTCTTTAGCAAAATCTATTGCCTGAAATTTAAGAATAATATAAAAACATAAAAAATCTATATGCATATATATTGCAAAACAACAATACTATTGAAATCATACTCTGTAGTCTTTCTATAATTAACATAAAATCTTTTTTATTATTTCCCAGTCTTCCAAGAATATATACCATCTCAGGTACTAAATCCCTCTGCTCACATATTTTAAATGCCTGTATATGTATCAACATGTAAATGAATGAGTGAATTAATTTCTTTAATTATAAAGTATAATTAAAAGTAAAGTATTTTGTTATATTAATATTAATAATAGCACCTCTTCCGGTGAATAATAATTGCTAGAGCATAGAAAATCTATCAATCTAGGATAATTGTATTCTGCATATAATTCTACCTATTAAAAAAAAAGCATTAATTATATTAAAAGCTCTTACACACACATGTATATATAATGTGAAATATCAAACCTGTTCATTATGAAATTCATATCCTGCATGGTGATTATGAAGAAACAATGTGTCCAAATAAATATGTAGAAAGTCTTTATGTGATCTTAAACGTTGAACAACATTTCTAATCTATTGCCATTAAAATTATTCAAAATCAAAATTATATTTATTCATCATTTAAAGATGTGCATTATATACATATTGGAACATCATGAGATTCTCAACTAATAATCAAACAGCCAGTCCATCAGTTGCTTTAGTCAAAAGTCCAGTATTAGACTTATTATTTTTTGTAGTATTCAACTCATTCTTCATTTCATTTTTATCTTCTTCATTTACTTTTTTTTTAGCTTCAGAAAATAATCTTTATAATAATCATCATCTTACTTGTAATTGTCTTAATTTAGCAAAAAGAAAACCCCATTTCTCCCATAAGTCAGCATCTTTCTTAAGAATCCTATGGTGCAAGTCACTTAGTCACTGAACTTTTTGTGCCATGATGCCAATTCTGAGAAAAAATATTCCAATCAAAAATGCAATAAAAAATTTTAGTCACGTGTTTTTTGAAGATCATCAAGGGCGGAATTTTATCCAAATATATAGCTGACTTGGTCTAAAGACCTCCTAAAAATAGTCGGATGCGAAACATCCTAGCATCCTCTTGTACAATGATGTAGTTTTCATAAAATAAACTATTTCGTGGCCAAAAAACATATACATATGTCACCAATTAATTTTGGGAGAGCGTATTTTAATTGATGATAACAAATTTTTAATAGTTTATGTGGATCAGAATGAAAAGGCTAATACT